GTCCCTGCCCATGGCAGGGGTTGGAGCTGGAGGAGCTTTAAGGTCCCTGCCAACACAAACCAGGCTGGGATTCTTCTTGCCAGTTATTACACAGCATCGGGGAGATCTGAGCCATCCAGCTCCTACCACCCCTCACAAGCAACCACCAGTTCTGTTCATAACCCTACTAGCTCAATTGTAATTCCAGTTAGAAGTAAATGGATCAGAACACTCTTTAAAGCAGCAGCTCCTGAACCTTGAGCCACATTGGCTAAATACTTCCCTGCTTTTGGCCTAAATTTATTCCTGGCAAGCTTCTCCTCCTTGTCTGTTGCCTGCTGGCATCAGCAGTTCTCTGCTCCTTGGGGTTATTTCTTGGTGTGCTTACAAACTGCTGTCATGCTTTTTCTCATCCTTAATTTCTGCTGGTGTGAACAGAACCTCCTCTGCACCTGCTGAGATGATGTGTAACCACAGCTAAGCAGAACAGTAGATAATGATTAGGAGAATGGAAGGCTGCAAGGGAACAACGCCTTCCCTCAGCTTCCCCTTTCAACTTGGAAGAGGACATTGGGACTTACTGTGGCAGGATTTGGGCATCCTGCTGCAGGATGGATGCAGAGGAACTGGAGCAAGGCCAGGGGAGGCTGCCAAAGACTCCTGGGGCTGGGGGATGGTGTGTGAGGAGAAGCTGAGGGACCTGGTTTGTTCAGCTGGAGGAGAGAAGGGAGGAGTCCAATTGCTGCCATCTGCTGCCTGCTGGGTGTGGACTGACGGGTGCAGTGAGGACAGACCCTGCTTCCAGTGGAAATGCCTTGCATTATTCCTGGTTTATTTAAGCAGCCTCCTAATGATGGTCCTGTAACCCGTCAAACTTTTCCTTCTCAGTTATTCACAGAGGATGAACTTCTCTTTGAGCAAGGGTTGGTGTTAAACATCACCCATTTCTAGTGTTCTTGCTCTGTAGTTTTCTTCATTAAACTGTTTTTTTCACCTCAGCTCCCATGTTTGAGTCATCTTCACTGTTCAGTCTCTCAGTTACTGTGCCAAAGTTATTAGTGAGACACTAAAGAAAACTGGTTTCAGAACAGAACCCTTATGGGCCTCCCACTTGTCCAGTATTTTTCCTCCTACTACCCCCTGTTACCCTCTCTCCTGCAGCTGCATCTGTCTTGCCACTTCTGGTATTAAGCACTGCTTTTAATTCAGCTTAAATAGCCTTTGCCAGGATGTCCTCCCCAAAATGCAGTCCTGATCCCTGGTGCTCCTGTTGTGTAGAGCATGGGTAGGCAAACGAGTTGGCAGGCACCAGTGAAGTCAACGTGTGGGTGATTTCCTTTCCTCCCCTCCTCGGGAACACTGATGCCTCCCGCGGGACACGCGGCAGCTCCTCCTGGCTGCTGGGCATCAGTGTCAGATGAGGACAAAGCATGTGCCAGGCAAAGAGCCAGAGGTACTGTGGACCTCTCAGCCTCCTGCCTCCATCCTGGCTATGTGGCTGCCTGCCTCGGTGGTTTCTCAGCATGATAAGAGATTCAGGAAGGCACAAGGGGAAAGGTGGGGGATATGCAGTGGTTTAAAAACCAGGGTGAAGCCCTGGCATGGGAGGTGGCCTTTGCCAGAGCAAGTGTTGGGATCTTGTGCTGCTTTCTGATGATTCTCCTCTGCTCTGGTCTAGATGAAGATCTCTTTCAACGAGACAAGTTTGCAGACTATGTTTGAGTACCCATCAGAGAGCTCACTGGCAGAAGAGGAGGAGGAGGAGGAAGGGGAAGGGCATGCTTCTGAAACAGAGGAGGACAAATCTTGCACCTTTTACATTCCAAGCCCAAACAGCACTTTGCATCCCAGTACCCCCAACTCAGGTGAGCGAGGCACTGTGCTGGCACTGTGGGGTTAATGATGGTGTCTGATGCTGTCCACGTTTCCTACAGACCCTTATGGGGTTCCATACAGGTGGAAATGCTGCCAGCTGCCAGCAGAACTGGGGCTTGGTGGGGATGAGACTCAAACCAGAGCAGGGACCTGCAGATGGGCAGCTTCCGTGATGTCCCTGCCAGGTTCCTGATCCCCCGCTTTCTTTTGGGATAGTGAGAAATGCTTACATCAGCTTTGTCCTTCCAGCAGATTTATCCAGCTACACCCCAAAGCACTCTGTGAAGTTCAGCGAGTGGCAGGAGCAGAAATACGAGGAGATACCTGCTGCAGGAGGACCCCTCCCAAAGGAAGCTGATTCCCAGGGGAACCAAGTGATGGTGAGACATTAAATAAGGAAGTCGTGGCTTTGTCCTGCTGTGCTGTCATCTGGTGCCTGGCTTGGCCTGGACAGTGGGTGGGATGGGATGTGCCTTCCACTGTGCACTGCTCACAAGGGGGTTCTCCACCAGGTCCCACTGCCAGACCTGCATGGGTGAAGATGAGGCATCTGGCACACCCTGTACTGCAGGGCACTTTTGGAGGGGGGAATTAAATGCAGTTGTTAGCCCTGGGCAAGGTGCCAGTGCAGTCTGAAGGTGTGGGTACACCCGTGCTTTGGATCTGATGACACCCCATGTCAACTCTGCTTTCTGCACAGCTCACTCCGGCAGACAAGGGCGGCCTCTCGGATTTCAGCAGCGAGCCTGCTCTCTACTTCTGATGGCTTCATCTCCTGGCCTGCAGCAGCGGCTGCTGGACGAACCGCGTCAGTGCAGCTTCCCAAGGTCCTCGCCAGCACCGCAGAAACAGCTTCTGGGTCCCTCCCTCACCACGGTTTTTGTTGGATCCTGATGCCAAGGGTGGACGAGATGCTCGCGAGCATCTCCGGAGAATATTTGCACTGGATTCTGGGACCTAACTACTACTTTTAAGACGTATGATTTATTCTACCTGTGGCCTTGCAAGTTCCTTGTTCAAGATCAGCTGCCAGTTGGGCAAGTGTCTTGAGAACAGACCTGTAACCCCAGGATGGATGTAGAGTCTCTTGGTGCTTATCTGAGTCCACTCATCCAGGCACTGTGTGGGGACTGGGGGGCTTTTGTACCACTTCTCCTATCAGAGGCCCCAGTGAAGGATGGTTCTGGAGCTGGAGCACTGGGAGTACCTGGGCAGTTACTGGGTTCACACAAGTGGCTGTGAGTTGACAGGGGATTGGGGAGCAGTTTGGGAAGCCAGTGAAGGTTCAGGGTTTGTTCTCAGCATGTTTCTGGCTCTAGTTGGACTGAACCAGCATGGAGGTAGTGTGCCAGCTGTGTTCTTTTGAGGGAAGCTGAACGCACTTGGAGGGATGGAGAGGGATTAAATGCTTTTGGCTTTAGGGGTTATTTTTGCACTGATCTGTAGGGAAGTGTCCAGACTAGCTTGAGGCTCTTGCAGCTTCCCAGCCATTGGCCATAGCTTTGATCTGTCCATACCCAACCCTGGCGTCCTGTCTCCAGTAACTGCTGGCTGTGCTTCAGTTTGCCAGGCCCTCTTGTTGCTTTGTTCCAGCATCTGATGCCCAAGATTTCTCTCTTGGCTGGTGCAGAGGCCTCCTTCCAGCCACGCTTGCTCTGCTCCTCTGATGCAAAGCACAGGAGGGCAGTTTCACTCCTTCCTTCTGCAGAACTTGAACAAGGAATATGGTTTATTATTTTTTCTAGTATTTTTATAGTTCTGTTGTAATGGTTTAATGCAGCCAATATGCAAAGGAATCTGCTAGACTCTTCCATTGACGTTTTCTACTACTGTAAACTCAGGGTCAAAATTGCATTCTGGAAAAGATGGAACACTGCTGCTAATGTGATTTGTACTTCTGGGATTAAAAGAGATGGTTGGAATAGCTACTGCCTCCTTGGGCTTTATGGAATGAGTGGTACCCCCATGTGTGGCCCCATCCAGAGGAGGGGGTGGTATCTTTTGTTAAATTTTGTGTTTATTAGTTTGTGTGTTATATAGGGATGATAAATCTTGACTCAGGGGCACTGGGTTATGAACTGAAAATGCTCTGCATACCTTACACTTGGTTTGGTGTACATTGTAGCAGGTGGAAGGCTGTGCTGCTGAATGATATGTCAGGACGTTGCACTTCTAAGGCGATGGGGCACAAGTACCATGTAAACAGTAGTGGATCCCGTAGGCTAAAAGCTTCTCCCATTAATGGAATATTTCAGGACAAGATTCTGAGACTGGGGTAGAATGAGGAAATCCAGGATCTCTAGTGACCACTGGAGGCTTAAGGGATGAGTAAGTTACCAGATATGCAGTTAAACACTGAGCACTGCCCATGGTCAGTAGCTGTGCGCACAGCCAAAGGAGATGGGGGCTATGTCTGAAGAAAAGCTCATGCACAGCTTCTCTAGGAGAAAAGGACCCTGTGAGCATCTTGCACTGCAGAAAAGCTGAGGCCAGTGTAAGGCAGCTCTGTTTCTAGATCTGCAACTGCAGGGGCTAAAGCAATTAAAGTTAGGGACAAGGTGTCTGAACTGGTCCTGACTGTTCTGCTCTGGGTCAATGGGGAATGCTAAAGCCAACAATATCCTGCAGCTAATCCCACTGACTTCAGCAAATCTCAGCCTGGTTTGGGTTAAAGCTCCTCCATCTCCAACCCCTGCCACGGGCAGGGACACCTTCCACTAGAGCAGCTTGCTCCAAGCCCCTGTGTCCAACCTGGCCTTGAACACTGCCAGGGACGGGGCAGCCACAGCTTCTCTGGGCACCCTGTGCTGTTCTCAGCGCCTGAAACTCCTCTGGCTAGCACAGGCTCAGTGGAGTACGGGAGTGCAGTGTGCTTCTTGAGAGGAGCATGTGGGGCTCTACCTTGTAGCTGTGATTTGCACCTCGGTGAGTGCTGCCTCTGCACTTCCCTGTCACTACCAGAGGAACTCTGCTTGCTTTTGGCAGAGCAAGGTGAGTGCTGTCTGGAGGGCAGCAGCTGCCAGGTCACCTCCTGGGCTGTGCTTCATTACTGTGCTCAAAAGAAAGGGTATTTTGTTGCAGATGCCCACCCTGATCTCTAGCACTTGAGGATTAACTTCATAGCTCTAACACCACAGTGCATCCAAAAGGGAAGTCGTCAGGACAAGGACCTTTATTACACGTGGCACCCTTGCACCAGAGCAGGAGCTGTCCCAGACCAGCAGGGCTGTCCGGGCTGAAGAACGAGTTTAGGAACGCTTTTGTTCATGTGCTTGTTTTTCTTTTGAAGTGCTTTGCTGCTCGCTGCCTTTACCAGCATTCCCAGGTCCTTCCTCCAGGGTATCCAGCAATGCCTGAGAACTCTCCAGGATCTGGGAAAGCAAGAAATAAACACAGCTTATTTTTACATAAACTGTTTGGGAGTTCCCCTGGAATTCAGCTGATCCTGCAGCAGGAGGGATCCTCACAGTGTCTACGTCTCAGTAATGTATCATCCTGTCTCCCTGCTGGAATACCTCTGACTACAAAACACCTTGGCCCATTTATGTCTTGGAGCAGGAGGCAGAGAACTTCTGGAGCAGGACGTGGGGTGAACTTTGGGTTGGGTTTGGGGGGGTTGGTTTGTTTCAAAGGGAGCTGTTGCTACCTGGCCTTTTCAGAGCAGTATTAAAGAGTGGTCAGCTGAGCTGGTTTCAGGCATCTTCCACTGTTAAAACTGCACTCTAGGTTTCTTGCTTCAAGACTAAGTCCACAATGGCCTTAAGTCAGATTAAATCTTCCCCTTTATTCGTTTTCTCCTATTTTTAGCTTACATTGTATGTAACCTAACACTCCCACTCATTATCCTCGAGGAAGTGAGGCTGCAACAGGTTTAGATCTTGCTGCCCGTCCATGTCACCATTTTAAACACAGAGGACAATTGTAATGAAGTGTGATATGAGGGTGCAGTCCCAAAGATCATCTGCGTTCCTATGAGCCTGTGGAAATCACTGTGCGGTCAGAGAGCTGAAGGTCAGTGCCTGCAGGATGAGACACTGAGAGGATGTGTTGGGACGTTGCCATCTTGTCCCTGGATGAAGGTGGAGTGAGTGCTGTGCCTCGTAGGGGCTGGGGCGGGCAAATTCCAGTAAACATGGGTCCATTTGCGGGCTGTTGTGACCTGTACCTGGGGTAAGGTTTCTTTTAGAAGCTGCTGTTTGCCGCTGTAGCTTCACAACACGAGTTTTAAGCTGTCCAGTTTTTATGTGGGTTCCCCCCGTCACCCCAAACCATCAGGTCCTGAAGCAGGCTGGGAAAACAGCTCGGGCCTCCCCTGAGAAATGACTGTCACGGGAAGGTACTGCCTTTGGGAGATGAGGATGTGACAGAGAGCGCTTGATCCCATTCAACAAATGAGAAAAGGGGGATTTCAGCAGGAGCTGACAGGGGAACGGTGCTTTTGAACCAAACAGCTCCTGGTTCAGGTGTTACCCTACGCGCAGGATCAAGCACTCCCTGCCTGGCAGTTTACTGCTATAGGAAAGGTGAATGGGTTGAGGAAGCAAAATAATGGTAGCACCCTTGTGGGGTTTGTCCCCTTCCTACCCCTGTACTGGGCCAGCAGCTCGGCTCTTTTAATGATACCGTTCCCTTAGAGATGGAATAAATGACATTACAAGCTGGGCAAGCAGAGCGGTCAGAAGCTCTGTCACTGCAGTGTGTTGTTACCTGTGTGAATGTGTGGTCTTCTGAGTCAATGTCTCAGCTCTGGTTTCCTCCTTTCTCTCTGGGCACCCTGTGCCAGCGCCTCAGCACCCTCCCAGGGAAGAGCTTCTGCCTAAGAGCTCATCTCAGTCTCCCCTCTGGCAGGTTAAAGCCATTCCCCTTGGCCTGTCCCTACATCCCTTGTCCCAAGCCCCTCTCCAGGTTTCCTGCAGCCCCTTTAGGCACTGGAGCTGCTCTCAGGTCTCCCCTTCAGGAGCCTTCTCTTCTCCAGGCTGCCCCAGCCCAGCTCTCTCAGCCTGGCTCCAGAGCAGAGCTGCTCCATTTCCCCGCAGGTGATGCTTCGTGACATGGTCTTTACTGGGCTACACGTGAGGACCACCGATGTCTTGTATCAGTGTGCTTTATCCAGGCCCAAATGCACCAAACCAAACCAAACCCCGACCTCCTCCATGGGTGTGCTGCGTGTGCAAGGAGCTCTGTCCGGGGCCGGGGATGCGGTCAGCGGGTGCCGCTCGGGGGTACCTGGCCGCAGGCCACCTCTGTCTCGGCTATGGTCCGGTCCAGCTCCGCGCGGGCTGCCAGGTCCCGGGCCAGGCTCTCGCTGGTGCCCGCCAGCCGCTCGGTGAGCGCCCAGATGCGGCGCTGCAGCCGGCTCCGCTCCGCCTCCCGCTCCCGGATCCGCCCGCTCAGCTCGTCCCGCCGGGCGCGCAGCTCCGCCAGCCCTGCGCGGCACCGACCGTCAGCGCCGGCCGCGGCCCGGGCCCCGCAGCCCCCGGCCCCCGCAGCCCCCGGCCCCGCAGCCGCCGGCCCCGCTCACCGTCCCGCAGCTCCGCTCCGTACCCGCGCAGCGCGGCCCCGGCCCCGCTCATCTCCGCGGCGCGGCCCTGCCCAACGCCCCGCCGCGCTCCGCCCCTTCCTGCGGCGCGGCCCGCATGGAGCCGCCGGCGGGCGCCGGGCTCTCGGCCGCCTGGCACGCGCTGAGCACGGCGCTGGTGCCGCCCGCGGCCCTGGGGCTGGTGAGGGGCCGGGACGGGCGGGGGGGGGGGAAACGCCCTGGTCCCCGCTCCCCTCACGGGCCTCAGGGCCGCGGAGGGTCCGGACGTCACCGCGGGCCCCGGGGCGGCCCCATCCTGGTCCGGTCCCGTCCACGTCCGGGTCCTGTTCTCGGTGCCGGGGTTGGGGAGGGGGGGGGACGACGTATGGAACCGGCGGCGTGGAACGAGGGCCGGGGGGAGCGGGGTGCGGCGGCTGTGTGTGTGCGCGGGGCTGCCAGGGGAGGGCCGCGGGTCCAGCCCTGCCCTGCACGGCTCCGTGCTGCGGCTCCGCGGGGAGGGTTTGGGTTCTGAGGCCCCGAGGCTGAGCCGTGGCTCCCCCACCGGCACGTGTGCTGCGGGAGCCGCCGGCGGGGGCGGCAGTGGACAAGGCTGCCCCATCCCTGGCAGTGTTCAAGGCCAGGTTGGACGCAGGGGCTTGGAGCAAGCTGCTCTAGTGGAAGGTGTCCCTGCCTGTGGCAGGGGTTGGAGCTGGATCCCCATCAGGTCTCCATGGATGAACAGCATCCGCTTGATGCTGTTTGGCAGCAGAGCCCATGTGCATTTGGTCCCTGCGCTTTATGCGGAGGGTCTCTTCCGCCACATCCTCCTAGAGAAGTCTGTGACTTGACTTGTTATCCCCTCCTCTTTCCAGGCCGCACCGAGGTCCAGTGCTGTGGGGCCGCTGAAGGATGCCGACCTGCGGGCAGCCCTGGACGTGCTGCGGTGTTATGACCTGCACTCGGTCGTGGAGGAGTGGTTCATCGAGGTGCTGCAGACGGACCTCCAGGCAAATATAGCTCCTGAGTTCTGGAACTGCATCAGCCAGTATGAAAACACGGCCGAGGAGCCCCAGTGCTCCTCACTCCTCCTGGATGCGTTCTGTCTCCTCAAGTGCCGCCTGGACCCCTACCTGAACAGCCTGGAACTCCTGGAGAGATGGACCAAGGCAGGCCTGCTCCTGGGGACAGGCGCTCAGATGCTGCAAGAGAAGGTCTACACCATGTTCAAAGCTATCCTTTTCTTCTCCACTACCAAATCCTTCCAGGAGATGATCCAGCAGTTCTACAGCCGTACGTTCAGGATATACATGCGGCAGTGGAAGAAAGGAGAAGATGGAAGCAATGAGTGTGAGAGCAGCATGAGTGAGACCGAGCAGGAGAGTGATACGGAGGAGGGCGGAGGAGAGAGCGCGCTGTGTGCGGGCTGCAGCAGCAGGAGAGAGCAGTGCTGGTGCCCCAAAGCCATGGAGCAGTTTCAGCAGCTCAATGATATCCTGTACGTACGTTGTGGGGTGGTGGTGGCTGTCCCTCGGAGCAAGCAGATGGTCTGGGTGGGGAGCAGCAGCAGGTCTTGATGTCTGAATACAGGAGTTAGGTGGGAAGTCAGGCTGGTTTGTGGTACTGGGTAGGGAACTTGACACGAGTTCTGTGGCTGGTTGCCAACTGATGGTTGAAGTAGAGCAGATCTTCAGGTAGAAGGTTCCTCTCCTTGTATATGAGAGTATCTTCTTGCTCTGAGGCCTTCTGTCTGCAAGGAAGCAAAGCCTTCTAAATGAGACAGCTTTTGATGGCCAGAAAATAATGTTTCTAAGGAGGATGGGGTGTTGGTGGTGTCATGTGTTATATACCTGTGCCTCTATGTGGGCTGTCGGAGCATTTGAACTAAGGCCTGGGCCTGCAGCAGTGGAGCAGCAGGGAGGAAGGTGCCTTCAGGAAGTCAGAGTGTCTCTGTTTGCTCGTACCTTTGCTTCCCTCGCTCTGAGCTCAGTCGCTGTTGGTCTCTGCAGCCGCCGGCTGAACCTGCTGGAGAGAGTGAGCGCCGACGCCGTCACCACCATCCTGCACAGGATGATAGAGGAGAGGATGGAGCAGCGGTGCAGGGGGGAATACGAACACTCCTTCCTCAACGAGTTCCAGGAGGTAAGGAGGGCAGCGGGGGCCCTGCCTGTGGAGATGTGCAGCTGCTCCTGGTGCAGCTCAGGCTAGAGCAAATTCAACCTGAAAACCTCTGGTCCAGGGCTGTGACTCCACCGCCCCAGCAGAGACGTGGTTAAAGCTCCCTGGTTTGATTTATGTTTGAGGGGGAGGTTTGCTCTGCCCTGTGTGCAGTGGACCTTTGTATTTCACCTGCTGATGTCCCTAGTAATGAGGGAGTTGCTGTGGTTCTGTTTTATCAACAAGAACATGTAGTGTGCCTCGCCTGCAGAGGACGCTCCCTCTGCATCAGCAGGGCCATCATCATTTGTGTGGCTGTTTTCTGGCATCTTTCCCATTTTTCAGCACCCCATTAAAACAGGAAGCAAGGATGGGTGCTGAGCACCTCCCATACAAAGGCAAACTGAGGACATTGGGGCTGTTCAGCCTGGAGAAGAGAAGCTGCGTGGAGACCTCAGAGCAGCTTCCAGTGTTTGAGGGGGCTACAAGGATGCTGGAGAGGGGCTCTTCATTAGGGACTGCAGTGATAGGACAAGGGGTGATGGGTTCAAACTGAAACAGGGGAAAGTTCAGGTTAGATCTAAGGCAGAAGCTCTTCCCTGTGAGGGTGCTGAGGCGCTGGCACAGGGTGCCCAGAGAAGCTGTGGCTGCCCCATCCCTGGCAGTGTTCAAGGCCAGGTTGGACACAGGGGCTTGGAGCAAGCTGCTCTAGTGGAAGGGGTCCCTGCCTGTGGCAGGGGTTGGAGCTGGAGGAGCTTTAAGGTCCCTTCCAACACAAACCAGGCTGGGACTCTGTGATAGATCTCACCATTGGACTGCACAGAACTAAATTCCTTCTTGCAACAGCCCAGTCGTTTTGCTGCTGCCTCGAACCAAGTTTGTGTTGGGCTCTTTACCCAGTGTGGCCTTAAAGTCAGACCCTTCTCCAGGTTATGGCTTTTCCAGGATACAGCCATGGCTCTGCAGGCTAGCCCTGTGCTCCTTGTTCCTTTGCCTGTGTCAAAGAGCAACCCATGAAGTCAGTTTGCTGTGCAAATCCGACCGCTGTCTGCTTTCCTGGTCTCCTTGCTGTTTCCCATGCCAGCCTCTTTTGTTGCCTGCAAGCATCAGCAGTCACTTTATGTTTACTTCCCTTTAGTTGCCCTGCAACACTTCCTTTATTGGAGCTGGTGTGAAAAGCTTTTGTTTGACCTGGAGCTTGTTTATGAGAAAAGGCAGCTGCATTCCACTTGCCAGACCTTGCAAGGTCCCTTTGTTCCCACCTCCTCAGAAGGGCCGGTGTGTTTGGCCCCAAGTGTTGGAGCGTGTCAGAGTTAGGAAGAGATGATTTTAAGGAAGAAAAGAAGCCTGGCAACAGAAAGGTAAAACAGGAGAAAAAAGAGTCTGAGAGGCAGCCTGCCGAAAGTCCAGGCGCTGAGAGCAAACCTGTGTCAGACACAGCAGCAACAGCTCTCGGTGTCAGCTCATAACTGGGTTATAACTGGAGCACTCAGAGATAAACTCATGGGGACAAGTGGGTTGGTTTGATAATAATTATATTCCTTAAAACTGAGTTGTGTGGCATCAGTTACAGCCCTTCCCTTCAGCCTTTAGGAACATTCCTTATCCTCTGCCTCACTTTTGCCCAGCTCAGTGCCCAGGTCTTCTGTAGTCCCTGCTTTCATCCTGCCCTGGCATTGGCAGAACTTGTGCATTTCATTGTTTCCTCAGGTGAGTAGGTGATTAAAACTGACCAGAGCCAGACCTTGACAGCATTTGTGTTGCAGGCTGTGGAAATCTAACAAAACCCATTCAATATCCAGTAACTATTAATCCTCAGGTACTATCGTAAGAAGTGCCACAATTTGTCACCTTAAAGGGGGAATGAACGCCCCCCTGAACACTTCTCTTGAACATCCACACATTGCAATTTGCCAATTACACATTTCTCTGTAAGAAAACTCAAATATATCAAAACCTGAACCTTCTGGTGCTCCCTTTTCAGTTTTTCATTTTGTCATTCAGTGAGTAGGCCGGTATTTGAGGTCTTGGTTTCAAGTGCCTGAGTTTGGGTGGTTGTCTGAGCCCCTGGCGTGGCTTGCTTGCTCTTCATTGATTTCAGGAATTGTAGAGATTTTAGGTTGAGGATGGTGCTCCTTTCTGGAGCCCAGCACCCATGCACAGTCCCCAGTCACCCCTTATCTTCTCAGACACATCTGCATAGTGTATATCCTGTATCTTTAGTTAAAGTTCACAGTCAAGGCCAGGTTGGATGGGGCTTGGAGCAAGCTGCTCTAGTGGAAGGTGTCCCTGCCCATGGCAGGGGTTGGAGCTGGATGGGCTTTAAGGTCCCTTCCAACCCAAACCATTCTATGATCCTCAGCTGTAACCCAGGCAGGGTGCATTTGGAGAGTGGCTGGAGGTGGTGCTGTCTTTTTCTAGCAGCCCATTTCTGCTTGCTGTGGTAGGTGTGGGATGAAGGGTTAAGTGTGGGATCCAGCTGTGCATCCAGCTGTGGTGTTCACCGCCTCTGTGCTCTCCCTGTCCTTGTGCAGTGGATTGAGAAGGTAATTGGCTGGCTCAGCAGGGTTTTCCTGCAAGATGGTCCCTCTGCTCACTCCTCTTCAGAAGCCAGCAGCACCCTGAAGCGCTGGCGGTGCCACGTCCAGAGGTTCTTCTACCGCATCTACGCCAGCATGCGCATTGAAGAGCTCTTCAGCATCATTCGAGGTAGGTGAGACCCACTCAGTGTTCATTCACTCTTGGACTTGGATGGGATGAATGATAGATCTGTCCCCTGATGTGCCACGCTGCCTCCTCCAGCCTTCCAGAGGAGCATGGCCACTGTTCATAGGCACTGCTTGGTTTGTAGATTTCCCAGAGTCGAAGCCCGCAGTGGAGGACCTCAAGTTCTGCCTGGAAAGGACTAATCAGAGGCAGCAGCTGCTCAGCTCCCTGAAAAGTGCTCTGGAAATGCGGCTTCTGCA